ATGATACATTACTCAGAATTTCTCTTGTTCTTTTTCTTTTTCTTCTTTGAAATGGATTCGACTGGGGCACTTTCAATGGAGTCTTGAGCCACGATATTATCACCATCTGCATCCTCGTCCAACTCGTTGGACTTTTTCTTCTTTTTTTTCTTCTTAGAAATGCTATCTGTGAAATTGTTTTCATGTATATTTCCCGTTTCTGTCAGGTGTTCTTCATCAATATGAGACTTTCTTTTCTTTTTCTTTTCTGTACACGGCTCTAGAGGTATAAAATCCTCATTGGTCTCTTGTTCTTTATCCACTTTCTTTTTTTTTGACTTTTTACTTGACTTTGATTCCTGAATAGTATCACCATTAAGTTCATTGGCACTTCCATTTTCTAATGCAGTATTAAAATTACCCATAGCTCTTTTCATTCTTTCAAAAGCTGGGTTGACTGGTTCTGGAGCACGAACAGTCTCTTCATCAGTTGCCTTCTTATTGTCTTTTTTCTTTTTCTTTTTTTTCAAGTCCTCTTTACCAACTTCCACTTGAGTCAAATCAATGGGCTCCTTCAAAACATACTCATTTTCTGTGCGCTCAAACACTGCTACAAAGAACCCGTTAGTCAAATCCACTTCTGGCCTAGCATAAAGTCCACAGTCACCTTGTTCATAAGAATTGGAACCTCTCTTCATCCACTGGGTGCAATTAGAAGGAACTATTGCTTTGAAATTAGGGGGAGTTGATTTTAAAACTTCCTCCATTACAGCTTCATTTTCTTCAGGACATAAAGAGCAGGTTGAGTAAACAATCCTTTTAACATTTGGAAAATTTTGCATAGCGTGGCGGAGAATGGCACATTGAAACCCAGCTAGCTTCTCTAAACGAGCCTTTGATACATCTTCTGTGTCACTAAACAATTCCTTGCGACTAGTCATCCCTGAAAACCAACACACAATCAAAAATTGTAGGATATCAGTGAAACAATCAGCAGTTTCACTTATTGTTAGTATCAAAAAGAAACTGTAATCACACAGATGCTTTAAAAAAACAGCACAGGAACTAACCTGTGCCTGAGCATGTAGGATCCACAATTATATACTCTACATCAGGAAGGTCTTTATGAGTGAAGTCTAAAGAACTTCCACAGATGGGTTTGACACAGGTGGCTTCTGCTTGAGAAACAATTTGGCAAAGACTGTCAAACCGAGCAGGGTGCTTCTCTATGGCATATATAGTCCTACATGTAGACAAGAACAGGGCTTATTATACATTTAAAACTATGTGATGATCAGTACGTAAATATTGTATCTAGTTCAGTTTATACCTTACCCTATATTGTTGAGAGTTGCAGCAATGTGAGTTGTCTTCATGCCAGGAGCAGCACACATATCTAACACAGTGCTACCAAGTGGGGCATTCAGTAAGAAGGCTGACATGCAACTTGCCTGGAAAAGAATTATAAATTTTAAATTTTGAATAATTCACAATAAACTGAAATCAGTGGACTAGGAAAAGTATTACCTTATCTTGTAAAAGAATAGAGCCTGTATGATAGAGTTCTATGTTATAAAACTCCATGTTTCCAGGAAATACCAAAAGATTAGGGATATGAATGTCTTTGATAAATTCCCTCTCAGACAATGAAGATATTTTTTGGAGAAAATGACTGTACTTCTTATCCTCAGAGGTTCCAACATCTTCCACAGTTTGTAAATGCCATCCCTCTTGGAGAAAAAAGTTAATAACTTCATCTTCCGATGCTTTCAGTGTGTTGATGCGTATAAATCTGGGACGACTAGCTCTGGAAGCTAAGAAAAAAAATATATATATAATTACTGGTCTTGTCTTATGAAAAAGATAGTTAGATAATTGTGCATACACATCTGCCTTGATCATTGTTTAAAAAATTAGTTCATGATGAGATGATGGATTTGTTGGTAAGGTAATCAAAAGGGGAAGACAGTAGGAACAAAGTAAATTTAAAAGAAAGGGTGGAAATTACTTAAGAGATTGAAAATGAACTAGGCAATTTTTTTATAGGGCACTGAGTGGGTCAATATCATGGTACACAAATTCTGCACAATATAAAAGAAGTTTATTTTCTAGCAATCAGTGATGATGATTAGAGTACAAACATGTCAGTTGTCATTTATCTGCATTAGAATATTTTTTTTGTGAATTAAACAATTTCTAGATGGATTTATCACAATTATTAGACTAACCGTTGTTCATCTAGATACAATCTACTGGTTTTACATCCCACATGTGGCACTATAATATGGTTTGTAGCTTAAATTGAAAATAATACAAATATTAAAATTGAAAATCAAAATGGCATAACTAGTTACAAAATGGAATGTGCAGCTGTTGTGGTTACCATAACATGACTGAGGCAAAACCCAGTAGCATTATTGAGGTAGAGATAGTTGGACACATATTTCGTTTTAAGGTTCAGTCTGTCTTTTTGTCATTTTCTCCAGAAAAACCTACTGTGCTCTCAGACTCAATTGGGTCAACAGGTTCACGGAAAGCCCTCCACACGTAAGAGAAGACTATGACATTGACAACTACAACTGATGCTCCGACTGACCAAGCAGTCTGAGCAAAGCCTGTTACATGTAAATGTTCCCTAATATATTGCTTGGTTGCAAAAAAGGCTATAAAAGGTAAAGTGAACATAAGAAGACTGTAAAATAAAAGAATTCCAAAGGTTGCAGCTGAAGAATTCCCCATGATGAGATGAGAGAGGATGAAGATGCTTCAGACAAATGAAGGAAAATGTGTGGAGACACGGAGGAAATCCTGCTGTACAAACAGAAAAGAAAACACAATTTCAACAAACCTGCTTGTGGTAGATTGATGGATAAGTTATTTTGCTCTGAAAGAAACTGGGATTTGTAGCTTTGAACTATCTTCAAAGGCATGGCTGGACCAGAGAGAGGGCGCTGTCGCCACACAAGCTCGGTTATAAGAACACGCGCAAGCCATGGATCCAAACGAGGCTCTTTAATTAAAATTTGAGTTTGGCGTAGAAGTGCATCAAGCTCAGAACCATGACGAAGAGTCTCAGCCACCAATGCATACAGGCTTTTCAGCAAACTCTGTATGGAAAATAAAATCAACTCTTTTTGTAATACATGCAAACAGAAATTAACCTCATTGAAACAGATTTTGAGTTTGCTTAAAAATGAAAAAAAAAAAGTATGTTTGAGTGAAATAAATTGGCCAACATACCCTCTGTTTGGATTGAAACACAAGACCTTTAAAACTTCCTCCTTCCTCTCTAACTTTTTGAACAATCTTTCCAGCCTCTTTATACAAACGGGGTACTCTCGCAGTTGAGTGCCGAAACTTTGTTTCAGACATTACTATTTCGGGTGCTTGCGCAAAATAATAAGAAATATAGAAAACACACAGTAGTGTAATTGATCAACTTGAATATAACCTGTTTTTTTCACGTTGGACAGCAGAAATCAACAATCAACAGAGCTAAACAAGACGGGTGGCGGATCCAGAACTCGTGGTTGGATGTGGAGTGGAAACAACGCGTAGTGTGTCTATTTGCAGAACATGAAAGGGATCTGAATGCCGATATCAACTGTCTGTCATTTTTGTTTCCTAAACGACGTCAGTGTTGAAATTGTGAAATTGGTGAAATCAATCCATCCATCAGTCAGATTCCCGAACATTGTCAGCATTGTGACGCTGCCTGTGGTTTGTAAACTCTACGAATTTAACCAAGCGTTTCTACATTAAAATGCCGAAAGTGCGAAGAAGTCGGAAGCCCCCTCCAGAAGGTTGGGAACTGATTGAGCCAACATTGGACGAACTTGAACAGAAAATGCGTGAAGGTAGGGTTAGAAAAGTGTTTATTTACATTCGTAGCACATCAGCTTATTGTGATTCTTATCCCATGTTTTCTCGTTTTATATAGCTGAAAGCGAACCACATGAAGGGAAACGTAAGGTGGAAGCGTTATGGCCAGTCTTTCGAATTCACCATCAGAAATCTCGTTACATTTATGATCTCTACTACCGTAGGAAAGCTATTAGCAAAGGTAAGTTTTGTTTCATATTGTCTCTGACTGTTTTGTAAAAGTACTATGAACTATCCGTTTATCTTCTTTATTCTTTAAAATTTCCAGAGCTGTACGACTTTTGCTTGAAAGAAAATATTGCTGATGCAAATTTGATTGCTAAGTGGAAAAAACAAGGCTATGAAAATCTGTGTTGTCTGAGATGCATACAAACCAGAGATACCAATTTTGGGACCAGTTGCATTTGCAGAGTACCCAAAGCCAAGCTGGAAGAGGTATGTCTGATAGGTCTGTCTTTTTTACAGACCATTTCGCTGGACCTGCTAATTGCGATATTCTCGTTAAACAAATACATGGAAGTCATCTAAAACCGGTTCTAGCGGCTTTATTACATCAAAAAAGTGTACCAAAGAATTCGTCATTTCGGAACAGATTCTAGGACTCTATGTAGGGTAAATTTTGATTTGAAATAGCTGACTTCTGTTTCATTTGTTTTTCGAGAGGTACGAGTGGAATGGTCTTTTGTTTCCCATGCACTTTCATCTAATCTTCTGACATTTCCAGGGACGCATTGTGGAATGCATTCATTGTGGCTGCCGTGGTTGTTCAGGATAAAATGATAACTTATTGATTTTGTATATATGTAATGTATCTTAGTTTTACTATACCCCAATGACTATGAACTTTACTAAAGTATTCTTTTCTTTGATTAACATTGTTTTTGATTTATTGCTCTCATAAGTTACAAAAATAATCTGAGGAATAACTCTCGTTACAATTATTTATCACAAGACACAGAGAAGAGAAGTAAAGAGTAATATTACAGGCAACAGAGATACTGCTTCAGACTACATTAAAAAATTAAAAGAAACAAATATTGGTAAAGTTTCCTGATTGTAGCTAATAGGAAGAACTGAATTTAAACATATCACTAACAAATAACACTTTTTGTGAATCAAATGTAGACAATTATACTAAGAAACAATTACAATCATTACATAATAAAAACACTGCATTATTCAACAAGGATTTTCCATCCTTTAGACTGAAAACTGATTGCAAAATACAACTTGGGAGGTGTTGTTTCATTTGCTACACAGACAGGAGTCCAATCATATATCACAGTTTTGTCTGCTGTCCCAATATGCATTCGCAGCTTGTCTTCACGGATAAGCTCACAAAGGAAACATACTTTGGCACCAACTTTCAATGGGGGCAATTTCATCATTTTTTCAACTCCATCTACAAATATACTTCCTGAAAAATTAATACCAGATTATGGAATAGATAAGTAACTTAAATGTTCACCATTGACTAAGTATTATTTTCTAATAATAACCAACCTTCAGCATTTAAGAACAACATTCCAGGTTGCATTAGACTTCCATCTTTGATTGGTCCACTGCATAAAACCAAGCCTTGTTCCACACCCTTGTTCCCACATTCTAACACCTGTTTGGTAAAAAGATCAAGAGGACAGTTAAGAAATCATACATTTCAAAAAAGAAATTAATAAAATAGTGAATAACAGATACTGACAGTGAATTCAATACAGTGTCCAGGTCCAAACTGGGCTGAGCAAGAACATAGCATGGAAGATTCATTTGAAATCTTACACGCAATTTTACCCTCATTAGTAACAGAATAGTTTGGATTATTTTGAGTCCAGCCTATATGCACAGAAAAGAGAAAAGAAAAAAATATTATGACAGAATTGGGAATGATAAATATTAATTGAAGTTGATTATTATTTTACTTACTGAAAGGGGTAATGTTGCTACTACCAACTCTTGGCAAACTCCAGGCACTCCAGTCAGATTCGCCTTCCACCAGGCAACTTACCCTAAGTAATGGTGCAAAGATAAAATAAAAATGAAAACTCATATTTTTGAGGGACACCCTGTATTTTTGGATCTTCTTCATCATGATAGCTTACCTAAATGTGTAAGTAGAAGAAGGACGTAAGTCTCTAACAAGATACTGTGTATCAGGTCCTTCATACACATCATGAAAATTAGTATCCATTAAATGAGGTTGGTTGCGAATATCTCCATAGGCATATTGCAGGCGAAAGGCGTGGATATCTACTGAGTGTTCAAAGTCAATCTAGATAAAAAATAATTAAATTGCAAATTTAGAGGCCAAATGATAGATAAATGTAAATCAAATTTCGTCAGCAGAGTAAAATAGTTCTTACTTCTTCCCAGTGGACAAGTAACGCTCCTGGTTTTTCATCCATTTGTGTTATTTGCACTGGACCCATCCTTGAAACTCTTCCAAGTGACTGAACACTTTTTCCAATTTGATCCTCAATGCCAACAACATTACATTGAAATGAGACATAAGGAACCTCTTCTAACTGTGGTACAGCAGGCAAACTAAGGTCCAAGAAAGATGAGAAAGGTTGGTATAATAACAGTAAAGTTGTAAGTTAAAATAACAAAAGTTTGAGAAGTGCAGACCTTCCAAGAAAAGATGCCTTCTCACAAAACTTTTCAGTGCTTTCTGAGACTGCCATACCACCAATCCTTAGGATATCCCCTCCCTCAGCGATATAAGTTTTGGTATTGGCAAGTTTTGAAGCAATTACATCTCGACATGCCCGAAGAGGAGCAAGTCCATCTTGACGTATTGTAGAAATTTCAGAAAGCAATGACTCTTTTCGCTTATTTAAAACATCCAGAATGGAATCTGACAGCTGATTGAATGTCTTAACCACTTCATTGGTACTTTGAGACGCACTAGACTCAACCTGAAAATATAAGAAAACAGTTTGATTGCTGCATAAACAAGAAAGAAGTAACTACATTAATCTAGTTTGGAGAGTGAAACCTGTGTACCTGGTGCTCAGCTGCCTCAACTGATTTCACCAATTCCTCCAACCTGGTAACGTATTCTCTAGCAGAATCCATTGTATCTCTTAAAGACTCCTCCGGCAAACTAGACATCTTGCCCTATTATCTCTTGAAATGGAAGTCGACTGTAACAATCAATTCGAAGTAAACACAGAACTTACATCCAAGTAAAAAAATAATTGTACTTTCTTTTGAGGTTAGATACAAAATGAGACGCACATTAAAAGGTGATCAGAGGTTCAGCTATGAACAACAATCCTTTTCTTACAAAGTTGTGTTTGGCAGAGAGTTTTCAATGTAAACAAAATCTAATTCAAGCAAATGGAAATAAATAAATAAACAATCGGCTCACGCCTGCTGGAAGTGACAGCGAGCGAAAAATGACACATTCCTTAACAAAGGCGGAGGGAGAAGTGGGGGGGGGGGGGGCATTCTTGGCAGCTAAACTCTCAGACCAGACTCTAGGCAGGAACAATGTGTTATGAAGGATATGTGCGCTTCGTCACTTGACCACTTCATTTTCCACGAATTATGTCTGAATAGGGTATTTCAGAGCTGGAGGTGAAGAAGTAAAATGGAAGAACAAAACGCGCACTGCGCATGAGCAGACGCCCCCCACTCCACCCCCTGCTTCCCCCACTCCGCGTCTGCGCATGAGCAGTGCGCGTTTTGTTCTTCCATTTTACTTCTTCACCTCCAGCTCTGAAATACCCTATTGTTTGAGTATGTGACAGCCTATAATTTGTTACTGATTCTTTGAATTATATGTGCTCATCCCCTTTTCCTCTCACATTCACATTATCCCTCCTTTTCCATCACCTGTTTGGATAAGGTGAAATGAAAAGCCAACACTCAGTACACACAGTGATTAATCTCAAATGAAGGGATCCAAGGGAAAGAGATCCAAAAAATCAAAACAATATATAATAAAATTGGGTTTATTCAGCATGGTTTTGAACAAGATTCAGACCGAATAAATGATCTGATATTAATTAATAAGTATGTCAGACTGACTCTGAATCCCATACCTGTAAGACAGTTCATTTTTAATTACATCAATGCATTCCAGTTATGGTTATAAATCATTTTTAGCTATATACAATACTCTATCACTTTCTCACACGTTTAACAACCCCATTCATTCATTTTATGATTTCACCCTATGCAACAGTGTATTTTTTTAAAATAAAAAGATGGTAGACAATTACATAAAAGAGTGAGCTTGATCACTTTAAATTATAAACGAAAACATTTTGAAAATATCTAAAACAATTTATACACATTTTATTACAACACTGAAAAGGCAACAAAATTTGTTAGATTCAGTTATCTGCTTCACAAAATAACTGAGCTTAAAATACCTAAAACTGCATCAGTATTGAGCCAGAACTGAGGGACACAGTGCAAATTAGTTTCAAGAATAAATTGCCATTAAGAGCAGAAAGAACTAACCTTTAGCATTATCTTTGAATCTCACAAAACACATACCTTGCATTTAGGTACTTATAAAAACCAGTCTGGCTCAAGTTCTACAAAGAGTGCACCTTCAAGCACTCTCTAGAACTGATACCAGATCAATAATGGCTCTACATATCACACACCAAGGAACCCATGTGTTTCCCACCAACTTTACCCCTAACGCGGGGTACAGTTAATGGCACAGTGGCACAGCATGTAACAGTGACTAAAAAGGAAGGAGGCCAATACCCCTGACACTTCATCCAAAGTACCAAAGGAACAAGCCTACTCAAGAAAAGACATGCAGTACAAAAAAAATAGCAGTCTCTTCTCTAAGTGGTCCTCTTGAATGTGGCTAATCTGAGATGCAAATTTAATCCTATGAAGTTAAGATAATTTAATAAGGTTAGTTAAACAAAAGCTAACTGCATCAAAACTATCTTTCCATAGATTGTTTTGGAATGACATTTTTTTTAATTAAAAAAAGGGCCCAAAACCGGGGGAATGTTCTGTACCACCTCCTACAATTTCAGATCTCTTTACTTTAAACATGATAAAATAAGTTAATGTAATGTAGACTTTTCCAATATAGTCAGTCATAAGAAATTCCATTGTAAGTAACAAACCATTAAGCAGAATCCCTCAGGATAAAAATGTTTTAACAACATACATGGTATTATTTGTGACAATACTATTCACATGATTGCCATGATGTGAATGCCATTATAAATGAGGCAGGCAATAAAATTAGTGCCCAATTTAATTACAATACTTATCATTTTTATCAATTGTGGTTAAATTCTTATACTATCTACAAATGCACAACTGAAACAAATATGTGGGTGGATGAAATCATACAAAAATATGTTGCGGATTCAACCACAATATTCATGACAGCATACATGAGGCACCAAGGAAGACACAGCTGGCGATCCACACCAGCAAAACAGCACATCAGTCACTATACTTTCCAGTTTTATATAAAAAAAAGAAACCACGAGGTATAAAAAGATATAATACTACATCTGCAGCACAGCGCAGTGTTCAAAAGAGTGTTTGAAATACCAAGACACTCAACATTAACAACTTATGGCAGCAAACTTGAACCAAATGTTCCCAAAGTAGCATTGATGAGTTACTTTAAGAGTTATAAGGACTCATACAAAATGACAACAAACGCTGGTCTAGTTGGCAACTTCTTCCCCATCAATGGACTCATCTTGGGCTAGGGAATCATCAGCACCAGTGGGAATAGAACCTCTTATAGCTGAACTCAACCTTGAACCAACTAATCCACCAATGCCAGTACTTGGTCCCCGTCTAGAAAATTCAGATACAAAATGTACCATAGGTATTAATTAATAGAATATTTAAAAAGCAGACTGATCAGATTTAAGGAGAGGCAAGAAATGTACATACCTCAGTTTATTTTTAAGGTTGGTGAGCTCCCGAGACATGGACTCGTGTGATTCCATCATGTCCTCCATTTCTCGCTGCGCCTTTCGCTTCTGAGCTTTTTCTCTTGCTATTTCTTCTTCTGCTTCTTCAATTTGACGTTTAAGCATTTTAACTTTAGTGTTCACCTGTATCAAAGATATGGAGGTGCAGTTATTCAGTAAAGATACAACAATCATATTGGCAAAAGTACTTAATTCAATACAGTCAGGGAAGTGTACCTTTTCTACTTGCTCCTTATATTGGTCCGCATGTCTTCGCTCATCCTCCAGCTGCATTGCAAGTTCCTTTAATTTCTTATCAAGCTTACGGTTAAGCTTCTGCTGTGTAAACCTCTCCTTAGTTTCACTATCAAGCTGTTCTTCAAGATTATTGATCTTGGACTCAAGGGTTGCAAGTGTTGCTTTGGTCTTAGTTCGCTGGTTTGTTTCCATTTCAGTCAACTTAGCCTTCAACTCCTTATTTTGGCGTTCCAAAACATTGCGATGGCTTTCAAGTTTTTGAGTTTGAGAACGCTCAGATGCAAGATCTGTGGAGTAAGTTGAAATATAAGACAACGTTTCTCTTTATAATATCATGATGTAGAAGGACAGTTTATGAAAATATACCTGTAGTGAGCTGTTCTATAGTGATTTGAGCCTTTCTTGCTCTATCCATGAGCATTTCAGAATTGCTGTGCTCTTCTTCAAGCTCCTCTTCAAGCTGAGCAATGTGGGCCTCCAAACGTCTCTTTTCATCAACCAGAAGTGTTCTATAAAATTAAAAGGTAAAGTTATTTTTAATGAGACAACTTATTCAGCAAGTGAAAGAAGTAAAAGATGAAGTCATACATAATACATACCCTTTGTTGGCACTGTTGCTAATTTCTTCTTGAAGTTCATCCCTTTCAGCTTCAGCAGCACGACGGCACCTCTCTGCACTCGCCAAGTCCTCTGTCATTTGCAGCATTTCAGCTTCTAGGGATTTCAATTTCCTTTCTGCTTCCTTTGCTACAATGGCCAGCTCATCACGAGCAGAACGAGCTTCTTCAGCATCCCGTGAGCTATCCTTGACTTGTACCTGCAATTTTTTCAACTGTTTCAAAGCATCTTCCTTTACTTTACTATGCATTTCCAGTTGCTGTTCCATGTCCTTATAATCTGCCTCAAGCTTCTTGCGAGATGCCAAAGCAGCTGTACGCTGTTTGCGCTCATCTTCAAGTTCTGCTTCAATATCCCGTAATTGTTTAATGAGACCTCTTCTTTTCTCCTCAGCCTGTTCTTCTTTGGCCTGCAATTCACGTTCCAGCTGTGCACGTAATGCTTGCATGTTCACTTCCAACCTTAATTTAGCATCTTCAGTCATTTGTAATTCATCTTCCAGTTCCTCATTTTGTGCTTTCTGCTCAGCTAACTGGCTCTCCAGCACTCTCTTTGCCTTTTCCAACTCATGTACCTAAAATATAGACATAAAAACAATGTCAAATACAGATTTAAAGTTAGAGAGAAACAGTTGTGTGAGCAATTTGAAGAAAACAACTTACATTTTTGTCTGCAGTTCCCTGGTTGTTAGCCAGCTCATCTAGTTCAGCTTGCAGTTGACGTCTTACTCTTTCAAGTTCCTCTATCTTTTCGGTTTGATCTTCTAATTCACGAGTGAGGGAAAGAACTTTAGTTTCCTTTTCCCGAGCTTCTCTTTCGGCAGCATCCCTTTCTGCTGCGTGCTGTTCAGAAATGGCCTTTTCTTCAGAGAGAACCTTGTCAAAGTTGCGCTGTTTCTTCTCCAGCTCTAGAACCTTGGCACGCTGTGTTTCCAGGTCAATATTGGCATCTTCCAATTCGGCCTGTAGCTTTCGTTTGGATTTGTCAAGTTTGTCATTAGCAGCTTGCAACTCTTGAACTTGTCTCTGAAGACTTTCAATATCCTGAAAAATTTGTAAAGAAATTAGTTCAAACATCTTTTCAAAGCTAAAACTTAACACACAAACAAATTATACCTTGGCAATTTTCTTTCTGCTTTCCTCAAGAATTGCAACTTGTTCACCCTCATCATCAGCTCTTTTCTTCAGCTCAATTGCTTGTTGAGTCAGAGCTACAACCTGCTTTTCTAGATTCTTCTTTGCTTCTTCTTCCTCTTCCAATTGTTCATGCAAAGCATCCTTTTCACTTTCCACCTGACGAAGGCGTGAACTAAGAGCTAATTTCTGACGTGTTTCCTCCTCTAACAGTGTTTGCGCTTCCTGAAGCTGAGTTTCCATTGTTGCTGCACTTTTAACAGCAGCACTTGCTCGCATTCCTGCTTCTTCTAATTGGGCATTTATTGATTCCGCTTCAGCCTGCAGTTTAGCAGCTCGTTCAGCGAGCTCTGCTTTAGCTCTGTCTACTTCAGCCACCTTTGCTTGCATTTCTGCAAGCTGTGCTTCTGCTTGTTTCCTTCTCCTTTCAGATTCTTGACGATTAGCACCAACAGACCGCAATTCAGTTGCAAGATCAGCATTTTCTGCTTCCAATGTCTGTTTTACTTTCTCTAATTGGGCTTTGGTCTGAAATAAAAAGAAATAAAATAGAGAGGGTGATTAACAATAAACTAATAGTACTTATTAATGAAAATGCAGCAGCAATAATACCTTCTTTAAGACTTCTAATTGTTCATTAATGGTTGTTATTTCTTGGCTGTGTTTGTGCCTCAAATCAGCCATGGTGACTTCATGAATTTGAGTATCTTCTTCAAGAGATTTCTTTAGAGTTGCTAATTCTTGTTCACGCTTGCTTCGGAGTTCTTGCTGTGCTGCAGTGGTGTCCAAGGAATCCAAGAGCTCATTTTTCAAAGCCTCCAGTTCCTCATTAAGATCCCGCTTCTGTTTCTCAGCTTTGCTCCGGGCAGCCTTTTCAACTTCCAAATCCTCCTGGAGTTCTGCCAGCTGCGATTCCATTTCCCTAAACACACACCAAAATATTAATTCAGGAGACAACAATACATAAAATGCAAGAGACTTACAAGTTCAAGCTGTTACACATACCTCAGTGCTTTCTGAGACTGAGCTTTTCCTGCTCCTTCCTCATCAATTTTCATAAGAGCTTGAGTTAGTTCCTCTTCTCGTTTACCTAATTGGAGCTGCAGCTCTTCAACTTGGGACTTGCGTTCATTAAGCTGTTCACGAAGGTCACTAACTTCTGTTTCAACTTTGCGCTTGCTTCTGTCCATTTCCTGTCTTTGCTGGTGGTCTTTAAGAAGTTTCTCCTCTAGCTCTGCAATTGTGGCTTCATGTTTTGATTTCAATTTGGCCAGATGCTTGGCTTTTTCTTCTTCTTCAGCCAAAGTCTGAGCAAGGTCTGATGCCCTCTCTTCTAAAATTTTCCTTTCTTTCAGAAGCTTCTGGTTCGTGTCTTCACTGAAAAGTAAAATTAGATTTTAAAGAGCAGGTTTATGATTTGTGGTTTATTTTCCATACCAAAGAAAGGAATGAAAGTTATCAAACCTAAGAGCGACATCCTCTTCAAGTTTCTTGAGTTTTGCATCACACTGAACTTTTTCTAGCTGTAGCTTCTGTCTAGCACCTTCTTCTTCCTCCAGTTGCTCTTCCAGATCCTAAAATGTAATTTTACAATGGTAATTAATTATACAAAGAAGCTCTTCCTGATTAGAATACTTTTCTTCATTATTTTTTAAGAGTGGGAAAGTTATGACTTACCTGAATATTGAGTTGCAGTTTCTTCTTTTCATTACTTAAATTAGTGGCCCTTTCTTCTTCCTCTTCAATTCTAGCCTCCATTTCATGCAGTATATCTTCAAGTTCTTGTTTACGCGCGGCTAGGCGGGCTCGCATCTCTTCTGCCTCAGCACATAGTTCAACTTCTGCCTGAAGCTGTTCAGCAAGGACATTTTTCTCTTCCACTGCTGTCTGCAATCTTCTTTCATATTCCTTGAGAAATAAATAAAACATGTCATATTTTGTTTTCTAATAAGATAATGGAAAAATTAATATAACTACCAACAAGAGTAGCCTAACCCTTACCTGAGAACTGCGCAGTTGCATGTCCAACTTTTCACGGATTTGCTTGAGCTCATCCTCTTTTTGGGTCAGTTTCTCTTCCTGTTTAGTTACTTCGAGAAGTGGCTTCACTTTAGTATACAAACGCCACCATTGCCAATTCCTAAGCTTTAAATATGCAGAGCAGTTTCTCTGAATTATACGAATTGCATTTAGCTGTTGCAGGCGTTTCTGATAGTTGCGGCGAGCCAAGTATCCACGGCAGAAGGCCTGAAGAAAAAAAAGAAGTTTGATAAGAATTATAAATAACCACAACAAATATTGTATGACATAGTTGATTGAGAACAGCCATACCTGGAAATTCACAATCAAATCTGTAATCTTATAGTCTCGTTCTTCTTCAAGATGAGCAAGGACACCAGCCCTGAAGAAAATCTTTGACTGACCAACTCTGAAAAGATTTGGATCAAGTTCAAGTGCACTGATCATCTTTTCACATGCCTTCTTTCCATCCATAAAACCTTTAGGTATAACATTGGGTGTAAGAAGCTCATATCGTTGGCGGAACTCTTGGAAGGGAATTCGGTTAGGGAAGCCTTGTCTGCAGATACGAATTCCTGGAAGAGAAGATAGAAACAAATAAGCAACATCACAAAATTAAAAGTTTCATATTAAAATGCCACATTTTAGAACTGATACAATACCTTCTAATACACCATTGCAACGCAATTGGTCAAGAACTAAGGGGGCATCGATTTTCCCAGCACGTTTTTCATGGTTAGGTATGATACACCTAACAAAGTTAGGGTTGGTATTTCGAAGAGTGACCATGAGCTTAGCAAGCTGCTCTTTGTATAGTTGTGACACAGTGCGGAACATTCCCTTGCGGGTCCGTGCACCAAACTGAGTGTCGGTCATGGCTTGCTGCGCCATTCCAACAATTTCAGCGTCTTTCCAAATGTGCATCACAAATGCATCCTGAAGTAAAGAAATGATTAAAACATACATATATGCCCATATCAAAAGCATTAATACATAAACCTAATTAAAGTACATACCTGTGAGTTCTGAAGTAGTGAAACAACATTTTCATTCAAAGGGTCCATATTCTTCATGAGCCATTTGTCAGCTAAATAGTCAACTTTGCCAGCATAATGGATAATGGCAAAATCTGCCTGCCCTCGGAAATCAGTTTTCATGAACTTTGGATGAACATTGTGGGTACCAACAAGTTTCTCAACAAATGTCTTGTCTGTAGCCTTAGGGAACCAACATTCTTCATCTAATAAGGCCATGATACCCATGGGCTGAAAAGAGAAAACCATGTTATTAGTTTTGATTTAAAAATGCAGCAACAACATCAAAAAAGATATCTTTCGATATAAAATACCTTATCAATGAGGTCAATGGTAGGCTGGAGATCAAGACCAAAATCAATGAACTTCCATTCAATACCTTCTCGTTGGTACTCTTCTTGCTCCAAGATGAACATTGTATGATTGAAGAGTTGTTGAAGCTTTTCATTAGTATAATTGATACACAATTGCTCAAAGGAGTTCAGTTCAAAAATTTCAAAACCAGCCATATCTAAGATGCCAATGAAGGAAGCACCCTGACGTTTGGTTCTGTCCAAAGACCTATTGATGCGATTGACAAGCCAGCGGAACATTCGCTCATAGCAAGCTTTAGAGATTGCTTCAACAGCAAATTCAACCTGCTCCTTTGTCTGTGCTTTAGTTACAAAGTCTCGTCCAACTTTGATACGAGGCTTCAAAAAGGCTTTGGTCATTTCTGTGACTCCTAAACCAAGCAAGTGAGCAACTTTCTGGGCTACTGTATTGTCAGGCAGTGTGGCTTGGTCTGAATTACGTTCCTGTTTGAATTGCATACTGCCAAACAGCATTACAGCTGAAACAATCCTAAATATTGAAGAAAGATCTTCTGCTGTCATGCCCATGATTCCCATAGCATTGACTGTGGATCTGAACTCAGCAACTTCATCAACACCAGGCACAGGAAGCATGCCTTGAGATAAAAATGGGTAGCTTTTGGCATCTTCCAAAATGTACTCCTCTGAAAAATGGGAATGAAGAAAAAACACTTGTTACAGACTTTGTATAAAAAACATCAGTATCTTTGAGACAGAAATGCAGGCAATCACTATTATACTGACTTTTCTGTTCAGGTGTGGCCCCAGCAAGAATCTGGTAGAAAATGTGGAAAGTCCTTTCATCTTTAGCTTGTCTGATGGCACGAGACTTTTCAAGGAGGTAGGTTTCAATATTTGCCCCTGCAATGAACCCTGATGCATCAAAGTTGATGCGGATGAATTTACCCTGGAAAAACAGATTATGAGTGTTATTAAAGAAGCAGTGCCTCACTGTGGCATGATGACATTCAAATTAATAAAGTAACACTTACGAATCTTGAAGAGTTGTCATTTTTGACTGTCTTTGCATTCCCGAAGGCTTCAAGAATAGGATTGGCTTGGAGCAACTGCTGTTCAAGTTCGCCCTAGATATAACAAAAAACACATTTCATTAGCTATACATTAAATGCAAAAAATTTTTGAAAGTTACAAAAGCACAGGTTACTACTTGTTGAAGCTTGGCAAATTTATCACAACCACTTCTCACACAATATTTGAAATTGCATTTATCGAAAAACAATAAAAGCAAAGTAGTTTAATATTTATAAAATAGACAAGGGCTGTAGGAAAAAACGCACCAACAATAGATAGAAAACAAAGGAACTGACTTAAGCGAGGGTAATACTGCAAAAGTTAATCACTACACTTCACCACCACCACCAACACCACCCCACCAATGACAAAAATCTACAGATGAGATTGCAGAAAAGTAAGAGTTTGGGTTAAATTGCAAAACTGATTTATTTTTGAACCCAAGCACAATTAAGCTCTAGATAGACATACTTAAAAGCACAGCAAAAGAGAACAGGTTAGAGGTAACAAAACTGTAGTCACTACCAGATGCACAGATAAGTAATTCAGTGGAATAGTCCAGACATGTTTTATCACTATGAATTTCACTGCACTGCACTTTGTTATTTAAATGAAAAATATTCTTTTAAATTACTGCTGTAATCTCTTCAATATTCACACAAAACAAATCATTACCCATTGGTTATACCTACCGCGAGACACGGTGCCGCCTATGCAAGCATGAAACAAATGTTAAAGACTTTAATGACAAGCACAAGACAATGTTAAACTAATTTGACTTTGACATTTCCTAACCATGTAATTTAAATCAATATTTATAGAAGGCATCCAAAAACTGTCAAAACAAATAATTATTTACAATATTAAAAAAATAAAAAATAAATGAAGTTACTGAATACAGATACAAGCAAAAGTAGCCTTTAACCATTTAAGAACCAAAAGCTAGCAACAAAAATCTATCACAAAATTAAACTTGAAAAAAAGGGAAACAAATGGAGAAGCTATGAAAGGCACTGTAGCATCTGGTGAGAAAATCTGAACAGCGAAAGTGCAGAATGTAGAAATAAAGAGGGACACAAAGAAAAGAATAAGACTTGAGTAATTATGGAAGAACCAAGCAAACACATGCAACTAGGTATCTTTCACATGCAGCAATTAAGTTAAGTTTAAATTTAAACCTGTTGACATACAAGTCAAGGCTTAATTTACCATCAGAATTCTACATGAAAATAAGAACCTATGATTTATTGAAAAGGTGATGCAGACTACAAGGTTGAGAGATGCAAATGCCTACTAATTTTAAAGCCAATAGAGCATAATTTGTAATGTAGCTATACTGTACATAATTTTGTAAATACTTACAATGATCAGGGCAGGACTTGGAGGCTGCCATGATGCAACAGAAGAGCAAGAGGGTTGCGGTGCATGAACACATCCACCAAAATATGCAAGAAAACATATGCCAAATAAGTTTCAAAAGAAAAGTTGACCAAGTTATAATACCAGTATTTGTGCAATTGGCTTGAATCTTTTTGGAGAATACCTCACTGAATCCAGTTTAGATAGAATATACTGAGAACACTGTACATTAAGTTATGAGCAGGTATTGAAGGAGGCTTCCTCCAAATACGCTAGATAGACATAGGCCAAGAAAGATTCCAATTCCACTGTTTGATAGTTTTCAAGAAAGGTACCACACGGTAAACTAGCTAAGTGTGTGAATGTATTAATTCGGGTGACAGCTACACCAGTACATAGTCGCCATGGCCATCACTGAAAAGCAGCAACAGCATGCACCACACACACATCCAAAGGGTAATACGGCGCGACCAGGGGCAAAAGGATATCTAAGACGTGATTGATAATACGCGCCTCATAAAACAGTTGATTGATTTTATTTCTCGGAATGCATCATATACCGTTTCAATTGGAGCAGCAAGCAGATCAGACAGACAAGAGGGCACCACACAGCTTTATATTTTTGCAGAGGGCCAAAAAGGGGAGGGGAGATGTGACAATTGCGCAAACCCAACAACCAATAATAAAATAAATAAAAAGAAGCTAGTTTAATCAGATAAATCGATTCGTGAGCACTTCACGGTTCAGGCTGGGCTCCTATACGAGTTGTCCACACACGGGCGTAACGCGGGGGTCCTAACGAGAGTTCCGGGTCCTATGTGAGGCAACAAGTGCGAAAATATGGTCTGGTCTAGTCAGTCCTGCCCTCTCGCGTCCCGCCC